CATGCGTAGGCCACGCCCACCCCGGCTCTGCAAAGGTGAAAAAAGTCATGATACATCACGATATGTCACATGATGCAATCAAGTCTGACATCCATGATGTAGACTAATGAAGCTTTATTGAAATACATGGATAAACTGACTTAAATATATGTGAGCAAACTGTGGTTTTGCAGCATGAAATCATTGGGCAAGGTATCCGCGCTCCCAATTAATTCTGCCACAAAATAGTCAAATTCTAACACAGGATTTTTTTTTTCATATTTAGCCTGATGTTTTATCCATTACCTTTTACGAACATGTAGCAAAGATAGTAGAGGAAACTCAACTGAGATTAGCGTCTCTTTCAGGAACCTGAAATTCATGACATACAGTATAGGAACCATGGCAAATAGATTGCTATTTTCTTGTTATTTAATAAAAAAGTGTAGTTTAAAAATAAAAGCAGATCTCCAACATAGTACAACATAGTACATAATACAGTAGTGTATTATATTGTAAGGCTGTAGGAACATATACTGTATGTGAATGATTTTATATAAATAAAAAAAGAATTGAAAAATGCTTGTATACAGGTAGTCTTCGTTTAGCCAATGTAATTGGTTCTGGCAAAATGGTTGCTAGGTGACAGTCACTAAATTAACCACTTGATTGGGAGAGAAAGAGATGCAAAGATCGCTGGTTGCTGCCAACTCATTCACATAAAATTATTTTGTGCAGCAACACCAATGCTACTCTCATTTTGGTGTGCATTGATGTCACATGTAGAAATGTTGGCTGAAAAATGATTTTTTACTACTGTTTACTATCATTTATTACTCTTGTATTTGTAGTCACAGTTGCTAAACGAGGACTACCTGCATGCTTTATCCAAATGTTGTAATATCAGGGTACAAATTCTAAATTTCACAGTTCTTTAATTGGTTTATTGTCTTGGGCAACCCATAAAATTTGAAGTGTACATGTTTTAAATGTAGCGGTCACAAAATAAAAAAAACTATTTACTTTCTATTGTTAGAAAGCATGTTAAGATAATCTGTATTAACCAAAGTATTAACTGTAATCCAGGCTGATTAATATGGATTTAGTAATTCTCCTATGTGAGAATCCCTAATACAAATCAGCAAGGTTTTAATGAAAAAAGCATTTTAAAGATGTATTAAACACTGCCCATGAATGCATCTTTGTATTGGCGCATGGTTACTAAATTGACACTAAAATTAATGAAAATTGGATGCATAGATTATTCAGAAAAGCCAATGCTAATGTTGTTCAAGCCTCATTCAAACACTGTGCAGTTATTCATTAGGGTAATGGCTTGGCTAGGTAGTGGCAATAGCTTTTCATAGATTTGGAAAGTGCTTTTATAGAGTTTTCAGTGTCTATGCTGTTTCTTTTATTACTGTGGTATGAAAACAAACAAGCCAAACAGGTTTACAGCAGCTCAGGATACACATTATGAAACAGTTTTTATTTTTATTTTTATTATTCAGATGGGTTGACCACAACTCCCATCCTTTCCAAGCAGCATGGCTAGCTACTCTGCAGAGTGAAATTTATGGACCTGGGGCACTAAGCTGGAGTAGGTGATTATAACAGCTGAAGGATACTCATACTGGGATGGGTATCACAATGCCCATTGCTGTGATGGGAATGTGTACCTGCAGCTGCAGAGGGGGAGTATTTTGCCAACTCAGAGCCTTCCCAGGAAAGGACTGTGTGGTCCTGAGCTGGTTGGGGAAGAGGTTCAGGGTAGCCAACCCTAGAATCTCTCAGAATAGCTCTAGTAGGTTAGGTAGTTATAGCTTCACTTTATAGCAAGATTCTGTCCACTAAATACAAGCAAATAAAAGATTGAATTTGATTGGATCTTATTGCCTTGTCTGTTCTTGCCTATCAAAGCCATATACTTTTTAAAAACCGATGCTGGGACAGTATCATCATCGTTGAAGTGGTAGTGCCATATTCATGATAGTATTTATTCTTTTTTTTTTTTTCAATAATTTTTTTTTATTATTTTCATCATAAAAAAGACATCACAAATATAACACAATATAATATAAAAAACACCCACATCCCCCACCCACCCACCCCCCGAGACTTCCCAAACCTAATCCCAGGATAATATTCAAATATAAGTAAACAATTATTAATATCTCTAACTCCACAAGATATATAAATTTTACATAAATAAGTGAAATATA